TATGAGAACGATACCGTCTTTTTCTAGTATTGTTATTTCCATAAAAAGTAAATGACGACGAATCACCTTTTTTGACAATTATTTGATTTAATTAATATGTTAAAAATAGGAAGGAATTGCATTAATGATTCTGCAAAAGATAAAAGAGCACAAATTAATATCTTTCAGCACAATATTGATATAAATAGTTTGATAAAATAAATTATTATCATTTTTGTTATTGGAAGAAAATGAAAGATTTCTCTCTTTTGAAGTGCAAATTAGTAATAGATTCTATTGATATCTCTATTCGTTCATCTCATGCCAAAACCTCCACTCTGTCCCCAACGACTTTATTCATCAATACGACACCTTTGTTGTCTGCACAATTCAATTTATGTGTCCTATTCGTTTTTAATTTATACACATATTACTATTTGTCTTTTGATACATATTGAGACCACTTTTTAGGGTTCCTTTGGCACCATGGCATCACACTGGATCCCCAAATGTCACTCGGAAACGACACCTTTAGTTACACAAGTAGAAGTAACTTTTTTTTAACTGTAATAAATTTCATGAAAATTATATTTGGCACTGCGACCAGAAAATTTTGCCTCTAAAATCAGTATTGGGATGAGTTTATTCTCAAATGTAAAAGTAATTTTCCTATGTGCTTTTGCAATTGTAACTATTAATTGCTTTCTTCGTTAGTTCCACTACTACTTTCAAAGAAGAAAAAAGTTCTTCTTGGAAGACTATTCTACCGGATATAGAAAGACATGCCATTTACAATTAGAAGAAGAAATTAAAGATAGCTATTGACCTTGACTTGTAGAAAATTTGGAGCCAAGTGGCCAGGCGGAACCTGCACGTAAAGTTAGAACCATATCGTTTTGAAAAATCAAATAAGCATGCGACAATTATGATATATTCATACAACAATGTTAAACTTAAATAGATTTCAGTGCTTGTTAAACAAACCAGTTATGAAAAACTCTAACAATTTGGACAAGTTTTAATACTTATAAGGCACAAGTATTTCAATCGAAATTTTATAAAATTCTTTTACCATTCATCAATCCGAAATCAAATTTTGTGTATTCAACAATTAGCAATCAAAAAAAAAAAACAATGAGAAGTCAAATTTGTGTCTAAATATTAGGAACCTCACATTGGTAAATATTCAGCATTCTATATATTGAAAGGACACCATTCAGATTTTGGATAAATAAAACGGAAAACCAGCTGACCCATGAATGATGAATGTGAGAAAGATTAGCCGATACTCCTAAGACTAGTGACAAGTTTCTAGGCTAAATACAGCAGTAACAGACCAACTGGCATGCATGATGGAGAAAAATGAAACCCCGTTGGTTATAAGCGAGGATAAGCGATGTAAACATCATTCTCCTGTTGGGTTTTATACCAAAATATAAATTAGTGCTTAAATAAAATAAATATAAATTATACATCTGATTACTTAATTCATTAATTGGTGTATGATTTTTTATTTAAAAAATAAATTTTAAATTATTTTTTTAATTAAAAATATATAAATTAACATTATAAATATTATATTTATGATAAAACGAGTCTAACGATCTGATATTTCTCTTGTCATTTCTCCAAGAATCCCAATTAATAAAGAACTAAAGCGTGAGAGTGCAAGTGAAAATGACTTGTTGAGTGTCATGCAAGAAGGCTCATTCATAGCCTCCATGGATTAGTAACTTTTTCAAGGAATTAAATGCCCAGCCACAATAGTAGATGGTGTTTGGATCACCAAATAAAGCCCATGGACAACTAGTGCCGTTAACAAAACCAGAGATTCTATTAATTTTAAGGATAGTAATAGATATTTTATTATAGAGTACTTAATTTGATTAAATAAAATTATAATATTTTATAATCAAGTTCAGATAGGGTTTGGGTACTTAATACCTGAACTCTGATTATTTTTTTTAATTTTATGAAATTAAAGATAAATTTATATTATTAATTAAATTAATTCATGAAATTATAATTATTAATTAATTTATAATATTTTTTAATACATATACTCTATTTATTGCGTTCATTTATAAAGAATATAATTACTATTACATATATATTTTTAATATATATATACTTTAAATATATAAAGATATTTATCTTTTATTTTTTATTAACATTACAGAAATTATAATTTATAAATTATTAATTAAAATATACATTTGTTTATATAAACTTATAAAATATATACTTAAAAAGAAGTTGTGAGATTAAAATAGTTTTAGAACTTAGCTATTTTTTTTTAATTTCATGTAATTAATAACAAACTCATATAGTTAATTAAACTTATAATGTTGTTTAAGGTGTTGATTGGATATTTGTTTTAGTTATTTAAGTTGATATTTGAGATATTTGTTTTTGATTATTTATATTTAAATTTTTTTTATTTATATTCTTTAATAAATTTATTTATTAGTGAATTAAATAAAATATTATTGTATATAAATACGAATACAAATTCAAGTTCAGGTAATTAGTATCCATGAAGAACATTTTAATAATTTTTTTACATATAATCATATTTTTAAACTAGTTCGAGTAATTATCGGATAATAAGTATGTATTAGGATTCGAGTTAGAGTAGTAAATTTAAAAAATAATCGAATAACTATAAAGTTCAAATATCTCATTTATTAATCGAGTTTGAGTTCGGGTACCTCACAATTTATGGATACCTTACTTGTAGACATCCTTAATTAATTTTGTATCAGTGCTCTTCAGTTTCTCGTTTAACCCTAACTAATATTCATCGAGTTTCAGTTTGTTAATCATGATCCCAAATTACGATAGCTATATATTAGCAAACTCATAAAAGCCTAAATGAAATATTCTATTCTTTTAATTAACGAGTTAAAAAAATGCTACCATAAACGGTTACTAATTTTGTGTCCCATTGTGATAAATTTTTATCAAATAGTTTCATGTGTTATATCGTATAGTATTGATATGGAGTTACAATAAATTATTGTATAGATTTTTCCTATCACATCTATTATAAAACCAAAAATTTAATTATAAGATTAGACACATAAATAAAAATTGATATATTAACATGAATAACTTTTCTTGAAGTTAATGTTTTCAACACCACCTATTAATTTCTAAGGTTTTTTTTTTATATATCTAATATGAAGTATTGTTCTATGCATCACGAATGAAGTTCTTAAACTTTACAACAAAGTTAGAATAATTATCACACGTCTTTTTATTTTTTATATTAATTTATTAATTTTTTAAAATATATGAGGACCCTTTAACCCTCATGGTGAAACTTAAAAACTCTGTTAATAATTTGTTGGATAATTTTCCTTTATAATGTTACTTTTCTTCTATTCCTCCTTTGCTCAAATTGTTAACAGGAAGCTCATGAAGGCATTGAGAACAGCTTCTTAGGCCATGGATTGAGAAAGGTTGGTTTAGGTTGGGCTCTGCAGAAGCAAGAGCATCAAGTTGGAGCCTTGGACCGTACTCAATTTTGGTCAGAGCCTTGAAAGGTGAGGAAACGGAAACTTGCTGAAGATTACAGGGGCAGATAATTGGGCCCGGGGCAGCTCATTTTGTCTTTTGAAAAATTCAAGCTTGGGCAGATAGGCAGAAAATTTAACCTTGCCTCTGAACTTTGCCAATTGTTCTTTTTCCTTTATGTGGTGAAAATTAGAGTTAGAGGCTTGGCAGAGCAAAAGACGTCGCATCAAGGATAGAGAAAGAGGGCAAATGCAATTTGGAAATGCTTCAAGGACATTTTCACTATGCCTCTCGGCACTGGATATTTCCTTGTGATTATTTATATATTTACAGGGGAAGTATACACTAGCTTAGAAAGATAGAATTGGTAAAATGATGCAAGGCAGGCGGGGAAATTGCATTTGCGCCTTATCTTCCTACATTTATACATGCTGAATACTTAAACAGTTGTCTCGAAGAAGGATGACATCTCCCTAATGGACTAGTTTGCTTCTATACATTAATTCATTATTCACCATTAACCACTTGTGATAAATGATCTTGGAGATGTCAACTCCTCATCGGAAGTAGACTCCAAGATGTTTAATCGGAAGCCATTTTCGTTTGAGGTGTTTAAGTACGCCTGACTTACTTGCCAATTGCTGCCATCTCCTCGCAGTTCGTTTGGCATATATCCCTCACTCGATCCATCCGTCAAATACCCATTTTGTTGAAACGATCTCACCATGATTTGTTGATGATTGGGATATTGATCTACCATACGCTCATCACCTGCACAAAATTTTTCGTGTTAAGATGTTACTAAATATGCACAAAATTAGCTCAAGTTTGATGTTATGAAACTTGTTTGAAAAGGAAATCACCTAGTGTGAGCAGGCCAATCTCATTGGAAACTCCTTCTATCTCTTCCAATGTATTCCAATTTGCATATGCTTGTCTGACCAAATTTTCAATATATGCCTGCAAATGCCATGTATAAAATTAGAGGGACATTGGACTAAGAGAGTCTCGGGACCTGAAAAGAACTTGAACTATTTAGCTTAGTATAACACATACTCTGTTCATATTGCTCAGGTTGTGAGTAGGATATATGCCCCCATTAATCTCTGCTTTCACGAGTTGACAAATCGGATTCAAGAAGATTGTATAATTGGAACCCCTAAAAACATAATATTTGTTACCCATAACACAAGTTTTGGCGTGCTTGATTGTGACGTCCCACATTTTCTCAGACATTCCAGGACCTAAAATCTGTTCAACAACATCATAGAAAACCCAAATTATTACTTCAGTTAATTTGAGAAAAAGAAAAGACTAAACCAGCATCTGATCAAGTGATTGCAAACACTTACGCTTCTAAGCTTGGCTGGATCAACGACTGACAATTTCAAGAAAT